TCCACCCTCCTTCCAGGCATCGCTGACATAGTGGGGCGGAGGGTAGGATCTTCAAAGCTTCCTTGGAACGACCAGAAGAGTTGGGCGGGGAGCATTGCCATGCTGCTCTTTGGCTATGGCCTCGCACTCGGGTGCGTGCTCGTTTGCATTACACCTTTGCCTTGCGCACTGCTTGCTTCTTGGATGTTGCTGGTGTGCCTGCTTGCTTGAAATGCTGCTTGCTGGTAACCAGCATTGCCACCCTTCTCGTTGGCAATGACGCATGGTATGGAGCCATGTTCTTGCTCAATAGAAGTCTAGTTTTGAGGTGCCTCAAAACTAGACTTCCATCTCGTTGGCTGTGGACTTGCACTCGGCTATGCTCTTGCTTTTGCTCTTGCTCTTGCTTTTCTTTCTTTGCTTGCTTTGCTTCCTTGCTTACCTGTTGCTTGCCTGTGCGTGATTCCTTTTTTCCTGCCCCCACTAGCGGCTGTTCTCTTGTGCTCTGCCCTCCCCTCTCCTACCCTTTCCCTTCCCTATATCCTCTTCCCATCTTTTCCTTATCTTCCCTCGCCTCCCCTGTCCTCACACCATCAGCACCATTCACCTTTTCACCGCAGTCGGGTTCTACTCTTCTGATTGGCTGCTGCTGCCGAACCTGCCCCTCCGAGTCTTCCTGGTCAGCCTCGGAGCTACAGTGGTGGAATCTCTGCCACTCAGCGACAAGTTAGACGACAACCTCACTGTACCACTCTCCACCGTTCTCTTTGGCCTCCTGCTGCTGCATTAGTGGTAACCGAAGGGTTAGAGGTGTGGCCCTTGCGTGTTCTGGTTCATTCACAAATCATGCTCTTGGGTTGACTCAAACTTATCACTCGATTGAACCTGCTGTCCTGTAACAGCTTTGTAACAAATTTGTTGTGCTCGGTGTGCACCAATGCTGCTGAATTCCAGCTGTGCTTTCTATTCTACTAGACCCCAGCAGGCTGGCTAAGTCAAATGCAGAGCGCTGGGGAATAGAGCACCGCTTCAGTGAGTGGGGATTCGGGAAGCTACGTAGGTGAAGAAATGGCGGATCAACCATAGACCAGAGACTCCGATTCTTCTCCCGGGCTTTCATAATCAATTACAGGTGGCAGCTTCCATCACTTAGCCAGCTCAGCTTCCAGCCTGGCAACCTCCTCTTTCATCGACTCCAGGAAGCCAGCATCCTCAGCCACCTTCTGCTGGTACTTGGCGAAGGACTCCTCCGCCTTCTTCAGCTCCTTCTCCACGCCCTGGCGTGGGTGTAGGGATGGGTGGGGGTTGCAGGCAGAGAGGGGAGGGGAGAGGCGGGGAGAAGGGGGAGAAGGGGGGCGGTATGGGATTAGCGGGGGGAACAGCAACCTTCTGCCAGTACTTGGTGAAAGACTCCCCTGCTTTCTTCAGCTCCTTCTCCACGCCCTGGCATGCACCGGCAGGGTTGCAGGGGGGGGGAGGGGAGGGGAGAGGAGGGGGGGGTTTCGGGGGGAAGCGGGAGTTGGGGGTTGGTGGTGAGTGAGGAGTGGTGGAATTTTTTTCGCCGGGTTAGCTTCGTGCATTTTTTTTCTTCGCAAGGGCTCGACAGGCAGACACGTCAGCGCGCGAAACACCCGTCTGGTTTCCTGCCTTTTTTCTTTCTCCGGGGCTGGGCTGTGCGTGCTAGGAACAGACACTCAGTTGGCGCTTTCGTAGTAGTAGATCATGATACCCCTTCCCTTGGACATACGCTTCAAACACTATGTACTGTGACCGCTACCATGTCAGGCTGCAGAGCACGCACCTTCTTTGCTTTGGCAGAGAGCTCCTTCCCGTCCTTATCATGAGTCGGCACGCCCTTGTCGTCCCACGCACTGTACTTATCAACCGCCCTCTTGAATAACTCAGAGGGAGGTGTAGATGCTGCCTGCCACCGCTCCAGGTCCTTCACCTGTGGCACAAAGGGGAAGGAGAGGGAGGGTGCTGATGGGGCTCAAGGGATATCGACAAGGGGAGATTGATAAGGGATCCGAGCCTTCCCATCTCTGACAGAGGGACGTGTAGATGCTGCCTGCCACCACTCCAGGTCCTTCACCTGTGGCGAAAGGGGGGTTGGGAAGCGGCAAAAGGGGGCTTCTATCATCTCATGATCTCTTCCATGGCTGATCTACGTAGGTCAGCTATGGATGAGAGTGCACTCATCCCCCCTCCGATCCTGAGGTGCGGATCGCCTGGAAAACCCAGAGTGCACCCTGAGTCATGACTGCCTGAGTAACATTGTGAGGGGGACCATGATGACTGTCAGATGTGGAAATTTGGGAATGCAGGAGCAGTTCCACGATACGACTAGAAGGAATTGCAAGGTATTGCACGATGTGTTGCTCCATCCATATCGTGGAACTGCTTTTGAGTCGGCATGGAGCGATTCTTGAGGCGCCTCAAAAACGGAATTGCACGATGTCTTGCTCCATCCATATTGTGGAATTGCTTTTGCATCGACTCAGAAGGAGGCATGGAGCGCGACAGCCATAACGTTGACCTGCTACGAGGTGCAGTGAAGACGATCCCGCTTCACCGTTTCTCCTCACCCCCCCCCATCTCACCTTAACAGCCAGTCTTGTCTGTAGTCTCCTTTTGGCCTCAGCAACAGCCATGGCAAACCTCTCATCCATCCCTGCCTTAAGAACACATCTCATCTCAGCCTAGACGTTATCCAGTTTCACCACTGCTGGCCTGTCTTCCCCGTTGACCCAGCTCACCCAGGCCCTACTCCCTAGCCTCAATTGGACCAACTCACCTTAGCAGCCAGTTTCGTCTGCAGTTTCCTATTGGCCTCAGCAGCAGCCTTGGCAATCCTCTCGTCCCGCTCCGCCCCGAGCACCTTGGGGTCATCCAGCTTCACCACCGCTGCCTCAACTCCACTCAGAATTTCGCACTCTCTCAAAGCCAGGTCACGCCACAAGCCACTCTGCAGCAACCTTGGGATCATTCAGCTTCACCACCGCTGACTCCCCACCCGCCCCTCCCCCCTCAACCACTTCACCACCGCTGCCTACCCTTCCACTCATAAATCATGCATTCTCTCAACGCCACCTCAAGCCCCAACCTCTCACCTTTGCTGCCAGTTTCGTCTGCAGTTTCCTCTTGGCCTCAGCACCAGCCTTGGCAATCCTCTCGTCCCGCTCCGCCCCGAGCACCTTGGGGTCATCCAGCTTCACCACCGCTGCCTCCCCCCCAGCCCCTCCCCGGTCCTCGCAGCGGATCCCAAGGTCCACCATCGCGTAATCTCTGACTTTATCTGTGAGGGAGAGGAGCTCGTCCTGCATACGAGGAGACGGGTTAGTAAGAGCCTAGAGGGTTGAAAGGAGGTATCATTGAGTTGCCCCTCCCCGCCTGGTCCTCGCAGCGAATCCCAAGGTCTGCCATCGCATAGTCTCTGACTTCATCTGTGAGGGAGAGGAGCTCGTCCTGCAAAGGAGGTGTATGGGATTAGAGGGCACAAGGAGATTTGGGAAGGATGGAGAGGGTCAGAGGAAGCTCATACTGGCGTTACAGAATGCACGCAACCACCCCTCCTCGCCTCGGCCCTCGCAGGGAATCCCAAGGATCCCCTCCCCCACTACCCATCGCATTTCAAGGCGCCTCAACTTTTGACTTCTGAGGCACCTCAAAAGTCCTCATAGGGAATCCCTAGGGTCCCCTCCCCACTCCCCATCGCATAGTCTCTGACTTCATCCCTAAGGAAAGCAGTTCGTACTGCAGGGAGCAATGCAAGGGTAGAGAATAGAACGGGGGAATCATCAATTCGCCCCTCCGCTCCGCTGTCCTCCGCAGCAGATCCCAAGGTCCACCATCGCTTCGTCTCTATCAATGGGTCCACAACACTGTGCTCTATCCATGAGGCAAAGCAGCTCGTCTTGTGCAGGGGAAGGTCGCAAGTGGGAGGGCAATGGGAGGCGGAACGAAGGGAAAGTGGGGGAGCATGCTTCACGAAGCAATCTCCCCTCCCTCCCCTGTCCTCGCACCAAATCCCAAGGTCCACCGTCGCAAGGTCCCTGACTCGGTCCATGAGAGAGAGTGGCTTGTCCTGGGTGCAAATGGATGGAAGGGTTAGAGGGTCGAAAGGAGGGTTGTGGAGGAAAGGGGTCAAAAGAAGGTCATCACGCAATCGGTCATCGGCTGCGCTTGAGAGAATTCTAAAAAACACCCTGTAAACCAACGGGTCAGAAGCGCAATTGCCCCTCTGCTGCTGTGTTCGCAGTGATTCCCAAGGCCCACCGCTGCATCGTCCCTTGCACAGTCACCTTCTGTCATTTTCAATTTCAGCGCCCTTTCATTCCGTTGAAACTTACCTTGGTTGCATTCCTTCGGACTGCTGCCCGGACATCGTCGCGGAAAGTTGAGAAGCCTTGAATGTAGGGCAGCTGAAAAAACAGAACGGCAATTTTTGGGAAATCAAGGCAAAAAAGAAAAGTCACAGGATAATCATGGCATAACTGCTGGATGATATATCAAACATCAAGCAAACGCGCGATGCGAGCCACTTGGTTCTCACGCTGACTTCTCAGTGGCCAGTATCTCGAACCAGGAAAACTCAACTCACCACTATGGCCTCCTTGGATTGTTCCGCCCCTGCCCCTGCTGTGGCTCCTGTGCTCATGCCAAATGAGTCGAGGCTTGAATCCAGCAGACCTGCAACGTTTACAGGTGGTAACAAGGGAAGGTGGTCACGCATGCAGTGCAGTGCAGGTAGGAAAGGAAGAATTTCCTAATGCAGGTGCAGTGCAGGTTACCATCATATGACAACAGCATATGAAAGTCTTAGGATGATATGATACAAGCGTGGCCATGCACAAAAAAATAGACAGGCAGAGCTGCAACGGCTCACAGCTGCAGCCAGAAACTGTGGAGTTGTTTTATCCTAAGCTAATTCTTGAATTACAGCAGCGACGTACCAAAGACCTGCAGAATCCGAGACACAAACTGGGCGGCGGACTGCAGCAGGAGAGGCCGTGGCCGGCGTTTTTGGCGGATGCGTCTTTGAGATACACATTGGTGGCTGAGATGAGGTCGAAGAGCGCTGAGATGGCCCCCGCCGTGTCAAAGTTGTCCTCCAGTCGAGCGCGGACCTGACAGTCGGAGGGGAGGAAGGGGGGGTGTGTGGGGGAGAAAGGGAGGAAGAGGAGATGAGATCAAAAAGTGCTGAGATGGGCCCTGCCGTGTTGAATTTGCCTTCCAGTCGAGCACGGACCTGACATTTCGGGGGAGGGGAAGGCGTATGGGAGGGGAACGAAACAAGGAGTGGTGATGAGCGCCGACATACACTCACAATCCCTCTCCCAAATTCCTAGAAACTCCCTCACGTACTCACTCCCTCACGCACTCACTCCCTCACACACTCACTCCCTCAGGCACTCACTCCCTCACGCATCATCTTCCTCAGCCTGTGCTACAGCAACATTAGCATTCGACCCCCTTTCCAAAATGCTCCATGTATCCTCCATCACTCCCTCTCTCTCACTCCCTCTCTCACACCCCTCCCCTAACACCCACCTCAGCCTGTGCAGTCGAAACAGCCGCATTCAGTGTCTTCTCCAGAGCGCTCCATGCCTCCTCGCCCTGCTCCCCCTGTTGATGGATAACAGGCGGCAAGTGGTGAGCATGGGAAAAGAAGGACAGCATGGGGGGGAGGGAGGGGGGAAAAGGAAAAACTGGTGAAGTGTTCTTGGGAATTCTAAAAAGCATGACAGGGGCACGGGGGAGGAGGAGGAAAAACTGGTGAAGACCATAGCAAGGAGGACTGGTTTGAGTCGACTCAAGAGCAGACGGACGTGGGGGGGGGGGGAGTGGGTGGGGAAGGGCAGCGAAAGGATGACTGGAGGATGGATGGGAGGGATGCATACAAGAGGGGAGAAGCGCGTTAGGGGTTTCATTCAACCTTTTGAAGGTGATTAGGGTTACAGGTCTTGAGGCATACCGCATGAAGTTTCAGCTGCTGCTTATTAGTCAGCTCAAGAACAGTACAACAGGAGATTTACTAGCACAGCTGCAATACATACAAGCAAGCAGGTCAACGAGATTAGAAGCACTTAATCTTCATTCGGTAGTATCACAAACCGTTCTTCACTTCGTTACACTCCACCCCACATCATCACCGCACAGCACTGCATGTAACCTAATTTTGAGGCGCCTCAAAATTATACTCCTCACACATACACATGAGGTACACATACACATGAGGCACACATACACATGAGGCACACATACACATGAGGCACACATACACATGAGGCACACATACACATGAGGCACACATACACATGACATGAGGTACATACCGCCGCCCGCATCTCAGCCTGCACTGTCTGGAAGAAGTTTCTGAGCTGCTTCTCCCTCCCCACCGCATCTGCCATCGCACCCTCCCCGTAGTTGATTGGCTAAAGGAAATTGGGGAGAAAGAGGGGAAGGTAAGGGGAGGTGGGGTAAAATGGGCAGAGGGAGGTCCGATGGATTTTGAGACATCTTAAAACTCTATCATATGTGTAGAGGGAGGGACATCAAGGCTGGATGTACCTTCCTTACCCATTACTACATGGACCGCTTGAGAAGAAAGGCTGATGGGTGAGAGGAGGGGTCTGATATTGCTAGTTGCTACTGCCACGTGCTACTGCCACGCAGGCTCGATGTAAATTGACAGAATTCCTGGCATACAGTATCATAACATATCGTTCAATATCATGAAATGTCATAAAATACACATAAATATCATACAATATCATAAAATACACTACAGTATAATAAAATATTCTACAACAACATACAAGATCACAATGATGGTGACAACAGGTTGGCCCACCTTGTCCCAGGCTTGCAGCAGGAAGAGCAGTCTGAATTGGCGCGCACTGTACTTCTCAAGAGCCTGAGGGGAGAGGATGGGTGGGGTGGTGGGTGGGGGTCGGGGGGGTGAAAGGTGGGTAAGAAAGAGTGGTGACGGGGTGAGTGAGCACGCAGCAGGAAGAGCAGTCTGAATTGGCGCGCACCGTACTTCTCAAGAGCCTGAGGGGAGAGGGTGGGTGGGTGTGGGGGGGAGAGGGATGGAGAAGGGGTTCAAGCAAGAGTGGTGATGGGGTGAGTGAGCAAGCAGCAGGAAAAGCAGTCTAAACTGACGTGCGCTGTACTTCTCAAGAGCCTGAGGGGAGAGGAGGATGGGTGGGTGGGGAAGGTGGGGGAAATGGGATAAGCAAGAGTGGCCATGGAATGAGGGAGCCAAGCAGCGGTCAGATCCATCTGAACTGACGCGTGCTGCGGTACTTCTCAAGAGCACGGGGGGAGAGCCCGAGGGGGAGAGCCCGAGGGGGAGAGCCCGAGGGGAAGAGCCCGAAGGAGGAAGAGAAGTGTGGGGAGTGTGGCGGTTTAGTGAGAGGCAGAGGGAGGATGATAGGGATAGCGAGAGTGGGGAGGAGGTGAGAATAGGGGAGTGGGAAGCTGAAGAAGCATCAGCAGGGGGAGCATGAGGGAAGGATTGGGAGGGGGAGGAAGAGAGTGGGAGAGGTGCCGTGACATGTTGAAGATGCTTATTCAATTTTGAATCCACCTGGCGGATGGTGATGAAATTCTTGAGCGACTTGGACATCTTGTGGCCCTCGATGTGCAGATGGCCGGCGTGCAGGAAGTAGTTGACCCACTGGGAGCACTCGTGAAATGCCTCTGCCTGCGCCAGCTCGTTGTCGTGGTGGGGGAATCGCAGGTCACTGGTAGGGGAATGGCAGGGTTGTATAGGGAGAAGGGAAGGGGGTGCGGGAGGGAAAGAAGCCAAGGGAGCAGATGGCCCGCGTGCAGGAAGTAGTTGACCCACTGGGAGCACTCGTGGAACGCTCTGCCTTCGCCAGCTCGTTGTCACGATGGGGGAATCGCAGGTCACTGACGCATGGAGGGAGCAGCGAGGAGGGGGATGACCGGGTATGGAAAGAAGGGAAGGGGTTGTGAGTCCTGATTGAGTATACACCGGATAGCCAACGATATCTAAACACCATGACAGAGCAAGCACTCAATGTTGCAAGGTATTTTTAGAAATCTCAAAAATACACTGCACACTCAATGTTTCCCCCATATGTTCCCGCCCGCCCGCCCATCCCCCCTTAATCTACATGCCCTCTCTTGCACACCAAACCCCGTTCACCCCAACCTCCTTCACCCAAACCTCCTTCACCCAGATCCTTCTCCCCCTCTCGAGCACTCACATTGCCCCCTGAGTGAATATCCATGGGAAATCCAACGATATCTGACGCCATGGCAGAGCACTCGATGTGCCATCCAGGCCGTCCATCGCCCCAAGGCGACGGCCACGATGGCTCCCGGCCTTGCTGGCCTTCCACAGAGCGAAGTCGCTGCGATTGCGCTTCTCTGACGTGGCAAAGTCCGATTCGCTCTCCGCTGCCAGCTCAGCACTGCCAACCGACCACGGGCAGAGCTTCCCGTACATGTGGCCCGACTCCCTGTGGTGGAAGGGGGAGGGGAAAAGAGGAGGGGAGGGAGGGAAGCGTGGGGGGGGGGGGGGATTCGTGGTTGGGGAGGGGATCATAGGGATAATAGAGGGGACCAAGGCATTGCTTGCACTGTTCATGGACCACGCGTATAACCTCCCCTGCATGTGGCCTGATCGCCTGCAGAGACGGGGCCGGTGGCTTATAGAAAAGCGAGCCTCAACTGTTTGCTTTGACCGCACATGCAATACGGATGGAGCTCCGTTATGTAGGGGAAGGAAAAAGAAAAAATTAAAAAATTTGCTTGCTTGAAGGCACTGGTGTCGAAGTAGACGCTGCCGTTGACAGCGTACGCGAAGCCATGCTGAACGATGGAAAAAAGAGATAGGAGGCGCCTCTAGACACGCACACCCACTACCCTCCACACACGGATGCGCACTAGCCTAGTCCCTCTCACTTGAAGGCCTTGGTGTCAAAGTAGACGCTGCCGTTGACAGCATACGCGAAGCCATGCTGAACAATCTTCTCCACGTAGTTGATGATGGCGTCGATGTACCTGGTGTGGGGGGATGGGTACATAGATGGTGTTGAGGGGGGGATGAGATGGTGTTGAGGGGGGGGTGGGTACATAGATGGTGTTGAAGGGGAGAGGGAGGGAGAAACGTACTCTGTAACATGTGTCATCATAGAGACGTACTGTGTAACACGTGTCATCGTAGAAACGTACTCTGTGACACGTCTCATCTCAGCACGTACTCTGTAACACGTGTCAGCACATGGGGCGGCCGCACGCCAAGCGCCTTCATATCTTCAAAGAACTCCACTTCGTACCTGTTATTACCACACCCAAAATAATCAGACATATGGAATAGGCACACATGCCCATAAAGGAAACCGCTGTGGCGAGTAGACACACATGCCCATTAAGGACACGTGCTGAACTGACAAGGGCTTGTGATACAAGGCAACAAGGGATGAGACATGAAGACACAGGATAATCCTTCATTCGCTCACCCACTCACTCACTCACTCACTCTCTCTCACTGACTCACTTGGCAGCCAGGCGTCTGAAGATGGAGACATCAGTCCACTGTCGCCTTCAGCTTCGCATCCAATGACGCGGCCAGAGCATCTGCCGCCGCCTCCGCTGCTGTCTTGTCAGCTGCTGCTGCTGCTGCTGCCCCATCCTCTGCTGTGCCATTGCCTCGTGCCACTTCACCCACCGCTCCCCCCTCCGTCGCCTCCACCTCCTCTGCCCGCCGTCCCAGCAGAAAAGACACGCCTCGCCGTCCACCAGCCGCCACACAGGCGGGGCCCAGCCGCTCCGAGACAGCCTTTGCCGCCCCTTCCAGCTGCTGCAATTTTAGCTCCTCCTGAGCGGCCTGCTGCAGCAACGACTCCTTCTTCTTCTCGTTGCCCTCCCCCTCTGCAGTCTTTCGTAATCCCTCAACCACCCCCCGCTGCTTCTCCACTGCTGCTGCCAATGCTGCTTCTGTGTCGGCCAAAACCTGGACTTAAGGGGGGCGAGGGAGGAAAGGAGGGGAACAGCTTGACCTCCTCCTGTGCGGCCTGCTGCAGCAGCGACTCCTTCTTCTTCTCGTTGCCCTCCCCCTCCGCTGCTGTCTGGCGTAATCCCTCCACAACTCCCGTTGCTTCTCCACTGCTGCTGCCAGCGCTGCCTGTGTGTCTGCCAAGACCTGGGCTTCGGGTAGAGGGGAGAGGGGGAGAAGGAGGGGAGCAGCTTGAGTTCCTCCTGTGCCGCCTGCAGCAGCAGCGACTCCTGCTTCTTCTCGGTTCCCTCCCCCTCTTCTTTCCGCTTTCGCTTCTCAACCGCCCCTTCCGCCTCTCCACTTCTGCTGCCAGTGCTGCTTGCGTGCCTGCCCAGACCTGGGCTACAGGAGGAGAGAAGGGTGGGAAGGGAAAACGGAGGGGTACAGAATGGTGCTTGAGGCGCGGCAAGAAGGTCTGTGGAGCTGCTGCAGCTAAGGAGATCCCAATGTGATTAGACGCTGATGTGACTTTAAGTCGACTCAAGAATGGTGTATGAGGCGCGGCAAGAAGGTCTTCGGAGCTGCTGCAGCTAAGGAGATTCCAACGTTACGAGACACTGATGTAGGAACACAGGACTGGGGAAAGGGAGGCAAAATATTGGCAGAGAAGAGTGGCAGAGGAAAGACAGCTGAGATCGATGGCGGCTTACAGGGGGCAGATGTAGCACAGTTACATACCTGGCAGCATCTGACGTGGCAAGTTGGCTCACCTGGGCGGCATCTGACGTGGCTAGGAGGTATTGCTTGATGAGGTAGTCCCTTCTGGCCCTCGCAATGATCTTATCGTCCACGTCAGTCACGTTCATCACGTAGAATACGTCATACCCGAAATAGTCCTGCTCGACACAAGCAACACGAAGACAGCACATTATCATTCCAAAAATGCTGACATAATAAAACACAACCCACCCTACGAAGTGTGACTGTAACAACGGAGCTTACCTCGAGGATGCGTCGGATAATATCGAAGGAGAGGTACGTCCGTGCATGGCCGATGTGCGACGAGTCGTACACCGTAGGCCCACAGATGTACCATGTGACTGTAACGAACGGATGGGGACGGAAGCTGCGCAGTCAAGTTTGTTCCTCAACGTGAGACATTTCAACAATCTGGAAAGAAAGTTCTTCAATGCCAGCAAACGCCACGTCGTCTGCAAAATGTCTTGATCTATCCGATCCAGCCACCCATTTCCAATCGCGTCAGTAAAAGACCCGCTATTCTCCACCGAGAGTTACAATGTCTGGTTACACAGTGACAGGCCTACCTCGTCGTCCTTGTTGCGGCACGAATGGAACTTTCTCGTTGCACAGGCTGTTATTCACACGGAGGCCACAGCTATTGCTACTACGACTACTACTAATCGCTCCCGCTTTCCCGCCAGCGCCGCCCCCCGGAGGAGTCCACCGCGCGCCCAGCTGACCTGGCGCCGCTTCTGACGCCATCGCAGCGTTTCTGGGATTTAGCGCTCACCGGAAATTAGCTGTTACCACACTAGAGATGGCTGTGGTAGAACCTAGAAACTGCCGAACTGCGCGAAAATGGGTCTTCGGAAAATAGGATCAGCGATCTTGGGATTTGCGGATCCAAAGACGGAACTTGAGAAATTGTCGCTGGGCTTGGGGGTGTCTTGTTGGCGATAGCGGTTACGGGTTCGCGACGATTGCGTGTGAGTTCGTGACTGCCTTTCTCGCCACATGGTTGGTTGGGCGGTTTCGCGAAGCAGGGGTTTAGAGCAATACAAGGGGTTTTTCTGGGTGTGCTTCCAACGTTACGCTTTTCTCAGGGTAATTCCGCAGCGAGTGTTAGACCCGAGAGTTTAGTGGGAAGATCCGAGGCTGGAAAAAATTGCCTCGGGTCTTGCGAAAAACTGACGGCTCCAGCCACTCAGCTGTCAAACCGAACAGCTAACAAAGTCGTGCAAATGAACTTCCACCAATCATAACTTCGTAAATTTCTTGGGGACTCGAAAAGTTCGGCCAGTACCAGTCGCAATCCTCCCCTTGCGACAGTTTGCGACTATGCAGCCGCTGCACCGTCAAGAAAATTAAACCCGCAGTTAGATTGTGACAGCCCGGGGCTCCTTCCGCCACGGGTCGACCTCGGGTCTGACACTCGCTGCAGAATACCCTCAAAAGCCCTTGGTGGTTCCAGAGATGGCTGGAGTTCACCGCCTTTTCTGCCCCTTGACACCAGCCTGTAACCAGTGATGTTGGCATCGATGGTGGAACTTGAAAATTCTCCACTAACCTCCCGCATTCCAGAGCAGCTCTTGAAATATGGGAGCTGGAGGGTTGGTACCCGGAGTGTTAGGATAAGTGTTGAGATCGTGCACCTATATTCATCAGAAAATAAGATTTGAGCAAAAGTCATAAAATCTTGGAACTCCTTCCTGAAATTAGAGGACGATGCCTGTAGCCCTGATAATTTCTGATATAGTTTCGACATTAGACGTCGTCAATATTACCCATTAAATTACACCTTCCTATGTTGTATAGCCCTACACCCAACTTGCCTCGTGACAGAATCCGCTCCACACTTTCATTGCGCCCTCCAGCCCTGCCTACTCCACACACAAATATTGTTTCACGCCAAATTCCATTCGGAGAGACCAGCACTGGTTGTCAGTCTAGCGGCTGCGAGCATTTCAAGCACTGCCTAATTGTAACATCCAAAAACCCCTTCATTGCTGTTCCCCCAGCAGCCATTCGATCATTCGTTCATTCCAATTTCTCGGTCACGACGTGGATTTCGAGAACGAACGACGACGGGGGTACCGACAGCTTAGGGCGTGGCACGTCCGTATTGGTTGGGACGTCATGGCCGCACGATCATACGTTCATAATGATCAAGAGAGACAAGAGGAGCATCATCTCAAGCCTTTTCCAGGCTGGAACAGCCGTTGGAAACCTGTCGCGCAGCACTTTTTCAATACCATTCTGTCACTACAGCCCATTCCGCGTGCCACCTCATCTCACACTGTCATCTTCTCGTCTGTCGCCGCGCGGATAATTAGTCGCACATCACCATAATGGTCTTTTTGCAGATGCGTTCAGACGCTCCAGGTTCTTCGAAGCGTGGATTTGCTGGGGAACGAGCTCTCTGGGTTCCTTTCCCCTCTGGTTCTCCTTTCCTTAACTCTCTGGAACGACCGACACAGGATCCTGTCCTCGTTAGTGAGAAATTCGCGACTCACTCAGTGAATCGTCTGAAGGATTCGGATCATCATGGCCGTCCATCCCCATCCCCACCACCATCTCGCCGTCGCTCGCCTCCATCACGGGCGTCACGTCTCCCCGTCCTCTCAGGCCTTCCTCCTCTCCTTCCTCGCAGCTTCCTCTGCCGTTGCCATCGCGGTCCTAGCCATGGCGTGCTCGTCGCTCCGCAGCCTCTGGTCCGTCTCGTTACAAGCAGACCCGCTCGGGGGAATGGGCTATGCAGGCGAATCGCTGGCATTGAGAGACGCTGTTGCTAGCTGGCGGTCGAGGGTGGTGTACCATGTGAGTGGTGTTACTGTGTGTAACCAGACGTCAGTGGCGTTACCATGCGAGTGGCGTTTCATGTGAGTTGTGTTACCGTGTGTAACCAGACGTCAGTGGCGTTACCATGCGAGTGGCGTTTCATGTGAGTTGTGTTACCGTGTGTAACTAACCAGACGTCAGTGGCGTTACCATGTGAGTGGCGTTTCATGTGAGCGGTGTTACTGTGTTTACGATGTGAGTATCGTCACGTCACACGCCTGTTACCTCCACATATGCCCCACATCACTGCCCCACATCACATGCCCAACATCACATACCCCACATCACATACCCCACATCACATACCCCACATCACATACCCCACATCACATACCCCACATCACATACCCCACATCAGATTCCCCACATCAGATTCCCCACATCACATGCCCCACATCACATGCCCCACATCACATGTCACATGCCCCATCACATCACATGCGTCTACAGCTTCGCTCCTTCCAGTCTTTCTTCCGCTCCGCATCTCCCTCTTTCGAGTTGCTTGTGGACAAATTCGCTCCTCCCGGTCCCATGGTTTGGCTCTTCATGGTTTGCCTCTTCATGGTTTGCCTCTTCGTGGTTTGGCTCTTCAGGGTTTGGCTCTTCGTGGTTTGCCTCTTCATGGTTTGCCTCTTCATGGTTTGCCTCTTCATGGTTTGGCTCTTCATGGTTTGGCTCTTCGTGGTTTGGCTCTTCATGGTTTGGCTCTTCATGGTTTGCCTCTTCATGGTTTGCCTCTTCATGGTTTGCCTCTTCATGGTTTGCCTCTTCATGGTTTGCCTCTTCATGGTTTGCCTCTTCATGGTTTGGCTCTTCATGGTTTGGCTCTTCATGGTTTGGCTCTTCATGGTTTGCCTCTTCATGTTCTGGCTCCCCCCTCTCTCCCCTCCTCTCCCCCCTCTCCCCCCCTCTCTCCCCTTCTCTCCCCATCCCCCCCCCACATCGCCCGTGCACCAGGTGTTTGTGGACAGGTTCGCTCCTCCCAAGCCCATACTATCCCAACCGCAGTGCGGCACGCTCTCTGATTATTGCGGTAATTTTGCCTCGGATATTGAGGTTTCCCAATGCCCCTAATGGATCCAAATACTCCCAAAGTCCCCCTCACACCCCTCCCCCCTTGCCCCCCTACCCCTTTCTCCTACTTATTGTTGTCATGTGACATTTTTCTTTCTAAACATGCTTTCACGGCAGCATGCACCACCACCGGATTTCCAAAAAGAAACACCTTATATTCGAGAAGTCGTAACCCTGTGCATGTGCTGGCTAACGTATAATCAGCTGCCCACTCCTCTTTCACTGCCTCGCTGAAATTTCTCCGACGTCGACTGTCCAGTTTCTTAAAGCCTGCTCCTGACCCTACTCATCGCGCCCTCCCCCCATCCATTTGTCCAATCCCTTTCTGCCACGTGGCTGCAGGAGGAACGTTCGCAGGAATGAAGCAGCACTTGCCATGTGAGTGAGTAGTAGTGAGACCCCTATATGTCTAGATGCGTCAGAATGCGTAGCTCAGTCTGCGGTTTCCAAAGCTCGCATAGGAGAGGCGGAAGTGAGAAGGCGGAGAAAGCTTGGAGAAGGGGATTGGGATAAAACTCCGAGTTCCTTATGTCCCTACTTATTTCCTGTATTTCGAAAATGGGTTAGAGAGAAGGTGACTGAGGTAAGCGTTTTATTCTGCCGTTCCTTCTCCCCTCTCCCTTCTCCCTCTCCCTTCTCCCCTATCCCTTCTCCCGTCTCCCTCCTCCCCTCGCCCTTCTCCCCTCGCCCTTCTCCTCCTCACTCTCTCTCCCCTCTCCTCCCCACTCCCCACCGTAACCAGACATCCGGGGGATGGGCTTTGATGCTCTGCTGATCGGCCCTGTAACAGTCAACAGCCCGTACGGTTACCACGGCTACTGGCCTAGGGGCTTCGCCATGCCACGTGCACAGCGACAAGGGGAGGACGGACAGCCACAGGTAAGCTGGTGGCTGGCCACGTGCTCTTCAGAGGGCTTCAGCTCTTCAGTGGGCTTCAGCTCTTCAGTGGGCTTCAGCTCTTCAGTGGGCTTCAGCTCTTCAGTGGGCTTCAGCTCTTCAGTGGGCTTCAGCTCTTTAGAGGGCTGTCAAGTCAGCCTTCACCAGGTTGCCATTAACCCCCATGTCGGCACTCCCAAGGAGCTCAAGAGCTTTATATGCCGGCTCATTGTTTCTCCCCCCTCCACTCACCCCCGTTTCCCACTGTCTCCTCTCCACCAGCTGGCCATTAACCCCCATCTCGGCACTCCCAAGGAGCTCAAGAGTCTCGTCGCCGCTGCACATGCCATGGGGTTCCTGGTCATGATGGACGGTGGGTTGCTAGCTTAGCATGGCATGTCATGGGAATAGTAGCACGTACGTGGGGTTTTGGGCAAGGTGAAAGGTGATAGGATATGGAATGTCATACTTTGTCTTGCTCAGGCTTGCTGTCTCCTGCCTCTCAGTATAGTTTTGAGACGTCTCAAAACTAAGCTACTCCATCATCACCCTCCTTGTGGATTGAAGTCGCCTCGTTTTGAGGCGAAAAAAATACCCTGATTAGCTGGTTTGCTGTCCCCTGTGCTCTCCATCACCCCCCTTGATTAGAGGCGCTTTTCAGCATTCTTGAAAATCGACTCCGCTTTCCACCTATTTACACTGCTCACGCACCCTTCACTTCTCCTCCTCCCCCCCCCCTAGGTGACTTCTGAGTCTAGTCAAAAGTCTCTTCTCCTCCTCCCCCCCCTGGCCATCCCGTTGCCCTCCTCACAATATGAGCCTCCCTTTCACCCCCTTCTCAACACTCCTCTCTCCACTCCTCTCTCCACTCCTCACTCACTCTAATCTCCTCTCCCCCACCCTTGACCACTCCTTTCCAGTAGTGCTCAACCATGTGGGGTGCCCAGAGGGAGGAGGGCCATGTGACACGTGGCAGGAGACGATTCGCCCGCCACCGTGGCTGAGCGACAGCTATGCTCCCTTTAACCAGGTGAGAGGAGGTTCGGTTCAGTGTACACTCAACCATTCCCCCCTTCCTCACCCATCCCACATCCAACGTGATGCCAGAGCGCCT